ATGAACAAATGAATGAATGCATGAAGGAAGGAAAGAAAGAAGGCATGAATGCATGAATGCATGAATGCGTGAATGCGTGAATGCTTTAAGGAAAGAATGCATGAATGAATAGCAAATAAATAAATGAATGTGAATGTAAATGTAAATGTACAAGTGAATATGACTGTGCATGTGTATGTGTATGTGTGTATGTATGGGTATGTGCCTATGACGATTCGGCTCACCCACCAAATGGTTGGGAACGGTTGCATTAGTTGCCGTGTTCTGTTAATGATGCCCAACAAAGGGCCAACCAGCTCAATTGTCCACACCCGATTAGGATGCTTCCCTGCAAGGAACAAAGCTCCGCGCAGAACAAAACACTAAAACATCCCAAAATCATCTGATTCACGAGGGGATCCTCCAAGTCAGCTGGCAAGTGTGGTATTCTGCACGGTCCCCGCAAATTGACACGCCCATGTCAAGTGTGCCCTTTCCCCAACAGCTTCCGTTCCTCAAGGCTCAAGGCCAGAGTGGACGTTGCATGGGGTGGATTCAACTGCGTGGTGTTGACGCAGTTGTCTCAACTTTGCGTTTTCTTGGATCGGTTGCAAACGAAAACCCAAAAGGAAACCAACCAAACGAAGGGGTTCCTTATGTTTGAGCGGGCTTGTCTCTAAATGAGAGCCACAACCACTCCCCCCCCCCCCCCCCCCCCGGTTTTCTGAGCTTTGTTTTTCGTAGCTGATGTGGGGGAATTTGAAGAAAATCATACGAAGAAAAAAACGGAGAAATCGAAGACTGGAAAATCGAACTCGGGTGCGGCACCCGGATCTTCCGGCTCCAAGTCGTAGCCCAGGTCGTAGCCCAGGTCATCCCCGAAGTCCTCCCACCTGGACGTGGGGCCGTGTTCATGTGAGGGATGTGAGGGATGTGAGGGATGTCTTGTTTAGCGGTTCCGTTTGCCTTTTTGAAGGGTCCTGGACCACCAAAAGGCGCTCCCTTGCTTGATGGTGGAAGGACAGCCAGTAGACAACCAAGCACTTGGCGGGTTCCATCATTTTGCAGCTTATTCTTTGAGCAGTTGAATTTCGGAGGGCCCCTGTTTACCCCATAAAACATAGATTTGAATTGACTTGAGAATTTGAGCCGACCTTGGGGAAATTGTGCGGGAAAACTCATGCGTTGACATCCTGACTTCCAAATGTGAGACTATGGACATATATCTCGAATGATGTGTCATCATCTTAGTATCCTTCAAAGCGGATCCCAATTCCAAGTCACGCTTCTCGGCGAAACTTCATCATTGAAGAAATATTCACCCCTTAACAATTGAAAGGTCAAACGTATTTTTCTGTTGGTGCTCACCACTGTTTGCAAATAAGTTCGTTCGTGCTCATGACGAAGGTGCAACCAATACCAGACCTTTCCTGGTCGATGGACTATGATCAGCACTAAGTTACTGTAATTCGGCAACCTGAGTCAAGGCCCGCTTTGTGCCCCCAAATGAGATCGCCACTGGTTAGTGCAGGTACCACGACCTCAGAAATGAAAGGCAAAAGGTTGCGCCGCAAGACTTACACGCAACTGTCTTTTTCAGGGCCTTTGTTTGGGCTGTTTCAAAAGGAAACTCAGAAACAACGATGGAATCAGGACACCAAGATTCAAAAATGAAAACCCTCAGCCCGCCTGCCGCTCCGAGGGTCCGGGGGTGCCTGCGTCAGCAAGGCAGTTCGAAGTTCGAAAACGCGGTGGCAAAAGCAGTGGGCAAATTAGGGACCTTCCAGTGCATTCCATGCATTTTGCAGTTCAAGCTTTGTGGAGCATCCCAACTTGGGCCAGCTGGCCCTTGCTGAGAGGAGGAATTCCCCCTGCTTGTGCCTACTAATCCAAAACCCCAATCTGCTCCCCTCCCTTGTAAATACAGGATGGCAGGGCCTTGGACCGTGTCGCTCTGCGAGGAGAGAGGTCAAAGAGAAGGAAGAAGTAGGACAGAAAGAAGAACAATAAGAATCAGACATTCAGAGAGAAAAGCGAGAAGAGGGAAGGTCAGCGGCTGCGCGAATGGAATGGGGAAACATCGGGAAGGGCTTGTGCTTGCACGGCCTTATATAGTTGAGCGAAAGGACGCCAAAACAGGGCCAGACATGCTGAGGTGTTTGATGACTTGGGCGGGTTGTGGCAGTCTTGGAAACGTGAACCCAACACCAGTTCAGCACAGATTTGCTCTCACCCCCCAAACCGTGGCTGCCTTTTTGTTTCCGTTCGGTTTGCCTTCAACTACCAAATGGGTCCTTGGCTTCCCAAAAAGTCGTCCAGACCGCCAAATCCGTTCTCCAAATCTGCCCCTGGCGTTTCCTTTTGGTCGCCTAAAAAAACAAGAAACATCCGACGACAAAGCGCCTTTGGTTTGGGCTGAAAATGAATTCCTCCAAAAAAGAGAAGCATCCCCATTAGCCGGTCAAGGCACAAACTGGGATCGAAGCGAATGAGTCAACCTGATGAAGCAGGACCCCTTCTGGATCAATAAGGGTGTGGGGCTGACCCGCGTTGGTGGTTGTACACTCATTGTCCATGATGGAATTGCAGACCAACCACCCAACAAAGGGTGACTGTTGCTGGTCGGGGGGACAATCCAAAAGCTACAAATGGACATGAATCTCCCGACGCGTGCGCCGCGTTGGTCGACTTTCCCGATGACCGACAAAAACCAGACACCCTTTTGTCCAGGCTGGGGCGGGTCAAGCTGCCCAAAGACAGACCCAGCGTTGGCCCGCGCGAAGTGCTGTTGGCTCTTCCCTTGCCTTACTTTCCCGCTTCTTGGGGGGTGTTTTGTCCAACCACGTTTCGGGGCCCAGCTTCATTATGCCAAATGGGTCTGCAAGCCAACCCTGTTTCCCACTACAGTGGCTACGGAAGCATCGAAGAAACCCCTAGCAGCGGTGCAACAAATGGACAGCTCACCCATTTCTTTGGTGTCTTCACCCAAAACCGACTGGTGCTCCAAAATTAGACACCCTTTTGCATGCTGTGTAAATGGCTTCCTTTTGATGGTTTGACAGGGTAGAGGTGTTGTTTTTCCTAGGGCTGGTGTTTTCCCAGCCCGGGTTTTTGTTAGGGCTGGCAACATCTTCAGAATCATCTGGGCCAGGGTGCTCCAGGTTGAGAGCAAGAGGCGGTATCCTCAATTCTCTGCTGGGAGCCGTTTGGCAAATTAGCCGCATCCCGGCATCGCCGGCCTCACTTGGACCTGGGTTGCCTATTGGCTCTGATTGGGTGGCAGTTGGGAGTTGCTCGGGGCTGGTTTATTTTGGGGGGGCTCTAAAGTTGGTTTGAACCAATCGACCAACCAACCAACCAACCAACCCACCCACCCACCAACCAACCAACCAACCAACCAACCAACCAACCAACCAACCAACCAACCAACCAGCCACGGAGAAGGAAAACAGTCCTAGGGAAACAGAATTCATCCCTGTAATGACGGGAAACCAAAAGCTTAGCGGCTTTCTCCATACTTCAGCTTTCGTGTTCGGTTTCCATTTCAAGGGCGTGAAAATGGGCCTCTTTCACTTTTCCTTGCCTGGCGGCTAAGCTGCTCCAACAGCTGCCGCCAGTCACCTGGCGATTGGGGAACAAGCCCATGATAGAACAAACAACCTGGGAAATGCCCGTTACCATACAACTTGCTGCGGCCGTTTCTCGAAATTCAGCGGTTGGCCTCGGTTGGTGGGCAAACCCCCCATCAGAAACCCGGTTCTCAAGTTTAGGACACACTCATTTTGGGGTAAAGTACCTGTAGATTGCTTGGAAAAGACAATGATGTTGTCAGCCACCAAACCAATTGCCGGCTGTCTGGTTTTGCCTACCACCAAAAAAGCTTCCTTTTGAATTCATGAGTCTTTTGGTCTCCTTACGCCCAGAGATTCCCATATCGACGCACAAAATTACAGAACGACCGTTGTTGGTTCGTGCTTGTGAGGGAAGATGCGCATAAAGACAATGTAAATCTCCTGATAAAGCAACCGTGCGATATGCATCTCGCATCCCGAAAAAAGAAGAACCGCAAAACAGAGCGCTAAATGGGTATGTTTGCGAGAGTGCCCCTTTGGTGCCGTTCGAGCAAAATATAAGGAAACTCACTCATCTTGGGACTCCTTCTAAATGGAAGCCAATGGTTTCTCTTGAAAATAACCCAAACAAAGCTATTCTCCATAAAATCGCATGCCACATGCAACAAAAGGGAAACGGGCGTCCGGATGAAACAAGGCCACCTGCTAGCCCCGAGATGTGATATGAACTTTGATGTGCTGGACCCGTCGGTGAACGTCTGAAAAACAAAGGGGATTCATGTCCACTGACCACTTTTGAGGTTGCCTTTTGAATGTCATTGAGTCATAGCCATATTGTGTGTGTGTGTGTGTTTGTGTGCGCTACCTAGCAATGCCTTCCAAACAATCAGGGGCACCAGAAACCACCCCCCCACCCCAAACGGCTCAGAGACCGCAGCGCGTAGTTTGAGTATTTCTCTTGAGGGTATCCGCTTTTGCTTTTTTAGGAAACAAAATGAAACAAACAGCCAACAGTGGTCCATTTCAGGGGCTCTTCCTCTTCGCCTTCTTTGGCCTTTCGGAGACCAGATTTATCAAAGTCCAGAAACAATTTGTGTATTCCCCTTGCAAGGTGAAGACCGCAAAAACGGGGTCCCACATACAAAGACTGACTACAAATTATGAGGGAGTCCAAACCGCTTTTGGCGGTCACTCCTATCAATTCGTCCGGGGTCTGCCCTTTTTGGGCTTGCTTTCAGGAGCACAGATTCCCATCGGCCTTCCGCCTCCTCCTCGTCCTCGATGTCATCAAACTTCGAGTAGTCGATGGGCATTGCGTTGCCTTTGCCTGAATTGCCCTGGCAAAAACCGCAGGGCTGCAGGAGGTCAGCTGGCACTGAAAGGGCCAAGGCGGATGCTTGTACGTACTACAGTAAGTGGTAGTCTCGCTTGCCATGTCAGCGTGCAGCA